TTAATTTGCATATATGATTAATATATAAATAAAAGTTAATAATTTATTATTGAATATTCGTAACTTTATTTCATTATTACAAAACCCAGTTATAGAATCATTTATTTATCTAATAGCCGATAATATAATAAATTAATTTGACAGTTCAATGTCAAACACATTAAATCATTATCACTAATTGAGGGAAGGAAGACGATGTGTTGTTACAGATATAAAATAGCAGAAAAGTAAAATATGTGATGAAAAATTATCAAAAAATATTTTACTTATGTTCAAATATTGTATCGTAACTTCTCTTATGCATTTCTTCCTCCATACAATATATTATAGTATATTGCAACAATCTTTCATCCATCTTTTTACTATTATGGAATACTGTATTAATGATAAGGATGTATCTACATTAATTAATGAGAATAAAAACTCATTAACTGCCAAACTAAAAATGTTTTAAAATTTTTTTCTGGCATAAATCATCAATTTATTGTTATCACGTCAGAGAATTTGGCACTTGCTCAGATAGAGGAAGACATAGAGCTACTTATTTCGGTCTCAACTGCAAAAAAAGATTTCAAACTTGAGTTTGTTTTATATAAACATTAACACGAAAGTTGTATACGTTAAATTTTCTTTTGATAATTGTTATTTTATTTGACACATATTTTATTAATTTTTTTTCATGGTTTTCATGGCTTTCGAAGATGGATGTTCCGCGTTCAAGATTGATATTTGTGACTGGAACTTCATTTTGCTTTCTCAAGTCTTATTTTGATACTAGTAACACTTCAAAAATTAAAGAAGAATACACCATTTTTTAGAAAATTAATCTAATTCTGAATTAGTAAGCCCATTAATTTTATATTGTAATCCGAATTATAAAACGTTCCAAACTTATATTGTCCAAACATACCAAATATACTTTGTATTTTATCATATTTTCATTGCATTTCTGTAATTTACTGTAGTAAAAGTATCAATTTTATCAGTGTTACCATTCTATTATTACATTATTACTCTAAATTTCCGAGAATTTTCTTATAAGCAAAACAATTATTCTATCTTACAAGATAGGATAATTGTTTTGCTTATAAGAAAATTCTCGGAAATTTATAATAAACATAATCAGATACTTTCAATACAGTTTAAGAAATATGATAAATAATGGCTGTGAACAGGACCTTTTGGTTGTCCGAATTATTTACATTTTTATGGTCCAAATACGTGGAGGAAAAACATAAAATGGATTTAAAAAACTAATTAATGAATTTAAACAATACAATTTTAAATAATAAAATTTGACAAAACATAATTTTTCTTAACAGGCAAGAAATCAATGGAATGATTAATGATTTTTAGTTCTTTTCCTACTGCGAAAAGAACTAAAAATTGAAAGGTTACCTTGAACTAAGAGGTTAACTTGAAGAAAGATTGAAAGCGGTAGCCTTTCAATCTTTAGTTCTTTGTATATTAAAACATCGCCTTTGAATCATCATGGATTTGGCTGGGCCCCATAATGGAGGCGGCAATGTGAAGGCCAACATACCAGGAACAGACGCAATAAAAAATTCCTTCAAGCTATCAGCCAGAACAAGAAGCTTCAGCCATCCAGTCATCGAATGGAATATTTCGTAATATGTTTTCTAGTCTCTCGTATATCGAGACGTTAAAATATAGCCATGTCTTATTACAGGAGAGACTATTGAATTACTTGGACACGATGGTCTCCCCTGTAATAAATTATGGCTCTAATTTAAACAAGATGATAAGCAACAATAATTTAGCAAATGGTTACAAAATATATTAAACAGACAGCCGGGTGTTCCAGGTTATTAAAGGATAAGTATACTGCTTTGGAAACCCGGAATGGAGTCTGGGCGGTCGAAAAACCCAAGAATTTTTCATGGGCATTTTTCATTGTCTCGAATATGTCGAACCCCGTCTCTCACCAACCGATTTCCCTAATTATGATTCTGAACTACAATGAGGATAATTGGTTAAAGGCCCTCTATTGCTCACAGGAATGAAAAATTCTTAAATAAAATGAATATTTTAATATATATGCATTTTTCTTTGTTATTTGTATATTAAGCATATAAGCATATAGTGTATTATACATAGTGCCACACACTTACAGAATTAACTAAAAACAATACAAGGAAATGGACAATATTTATAAAAAGTTTGCTCGTTTCTTAACACACGAGTGACACGTTATTTTTACTTTTAATAAAACTCTAGTTTTGTTGTCATAGACTGTGTCGTTATTAAATAATTCCAATTGACAATTTTCAATTCTATTATTTGATGATGAAGCATAAAACTCGAGAAATGATCTAGAAAACATTGCACTGTACATTTTACTAATTCTAGATGATACAGGAAACTGACATACAATAATTATAAATAAAATTTATTGCAAGATAAAATATAATATTTATGAATAAAATTTTATAGGTTAAAATATACTAAAATATTTTGATATTTATAAATAATTGAACAAATAAACTCCATTATTGCGTATTGAAATATAATAAAGTTTTTTGTGAAAAATTCGAACAAGTTAATAAAAATAAATCTAGGATAATTATAAGTAAATCATTCAGTAAATAAAAATAAATTTAGTAAATAATTTTATAAAATAAGATAAGGACAAACAAAGGAAACGTAAATTATCATTTGAATTATAAAATAATATAATTCATAGAATTGTGTCACTTTATAATTAAACAAGTTAATACATAAATTTATAAGAAAATACGAAGAAAACAATGCATATTTTCTTCAATCACCGAGTTGATACAATTCCAATGCGTAGTTATTGCCATTGAAGTACTTGATTAACATAGACAAACCTTATTGCAAGATAAACAAACCATTAATGTTTATAAATGAAAGTATAGTAATTTGGCACTACAATCAGAAAGATATACCAAAATTGCTTTAAAATACAGAGAAAAATACAAAAATTCTTTATGAAAATGCAAAATTCTTCTAGAAAATCCTTAGGAAAGAATGTAAGATTGTAGTTACTTAGGTAATCTTGAATTTTTCCCTACCAAGTTCAAAAACTGAAAACGTATAAATGGAGAGGGAAATGTTATAATGTTTTCTTTTCTTTAAAAAATAGTAAAAAAAATGATATATGAAAGGGCGCTTTCAGAGGTGTATCCAAATACAGTATTATTTTTAAGACGTTAGAAGTAAATTGGTGCGTAAATTGTAGATAGATCGAAAAAGACGCAAGCAGCTAAGAAAACTATTTACAGAAAGGTATTTAATTCTTTTGTCTCTTCCAGAATACTCTCTAAATACGAATGGGCTCTTTTGTAAGGAGGCCCTTCATATTCTGTACAATATTTACAAATACTTAACTTTCTACTTGCTTGCAATTCATTTTGTAATGTGATTTTTCGGGTAAAGAGCGAATGAGTATTTATAAGTATACATGTCCTAATTTAAGAAAAGATAGATAATACATATGATAAATTTTAGATAAGAATAATTAAGTATATACACTAAAAATAATAACACTCATTTGTTAAAATTGAATATCATTTATTCAAAGGAACAAAAAATAACTTAAGTGTCATATGGTAGATTTAACAATAAATATCCAACTAATTAGATTTTGTAAATCAAAAATTTAATTTTTTTTATATATAATTAATCTTCCTGAAAACTATATAAACAAAAAAAGGATGTCATCAAAACCAGTTAGTTTATATTAGTCATAATATAACTTATATAACAGAAGAATCGAGAACGTTAAAAACATGACCCCCTTTCTGATTGCACTGCAGAACGTCAGTCTTATGTTTCTTTGTTACGTATTTCCATTATGTAATCCATTTTAAAAATTCAAATTTCTAACCGTTTACAGCGTCAATCGTATAGTATAATATTGTAACTGAACTAAATCAAGAGTCCATTTTACCGTACTGCCCATATAATACGTGGTATAATATTTTAAATTAATAATGATATGTAATATATCCATTAGTATATAATAGATACACTAAAATGATTTTATTGTTAAAGATATCACATTAGTAAATTCACTATAGGCCTACTTATAATACACATTGTACACTGAATTTCATTTTAATATACTTTACTGTATAATGCACACACAAAAGTAATTATACAGTTAATTACATAAGAATAACTTGAACTATAGATACGAATTATATTCAAATGCCATATAACATAAACTATATTTCTTAGCTACAGAATAAGTAAATTCAGCAGGCTTATACAATAATATATTGGCCTATATTTTATATAATAAATATTCAATACAATGACTATCCCATACTGAAGTTAATTTATATAATATGTTATTCTAAAGATAAGAAATATATTCGCTATATTTCTTACAATATATTTAGTGTGGCCCAAAAGTCGGTTAACTGAACTAGCAATTTATTATCTTTAAGTTAACTGACTTTTGGTCCACCCAGACTGTTTATTATTGTTTTCAATAAATTAACACATTATTTAAATGATTTTTATTATTATTTTAAATCTTTTTTAAAATATATATATTGTTATTATTATTATTCATCCTTTATTAAGTTGAAGCTTCCTTTTAATTAAAAAGAATTGCATCCTTATTAACTCTAAACAATAGCACTTAACGAGTTAAAATGTCAAAATACGTCAGTTGAAATCATTTCTCAAACTTATTTCGGGTTTATTTATTTTTAAAAATACATTTAACTAAAAAAAAAAGGAAAGAAAAAGAGAAAGTGAAAGTATGCCTTAAGCTATGTGCCTCATTTTAATTATGAAGTGTATGTTCGACATTCTTCATTCTTGCCTTCTGGCAAAAGAACAGTCTGGAGAAAAAGTTACTTGGATGCAATTTTTATCGTATTCAAGTGACTTTTTCTCGACTTATAAGAAAAGAAAACTTATTTTTATGTTAAAATCGCTATTTAGGACACGAGAAACTTTTAGAAATTTGCATAAAATAAACATAAAAACTTACTTCTGTTTTCATATGTTGATCTAGACACTCCAAATTGGAATAAGTAACACCCTCGTTAACGGCTATAAAAATGATTTATATGTATTATAAAGCAAAATAATTTAAAATAAATAAATAAAACGATTATTAACTTACAACAAAGTCTGTAGATAAGTGATAAAATATCATAAATATTTGGCATATTGGATCTTCCAACATGTGATGTCCTTCCATTAGTTTCTTTTGATATAACAATTGTGATCAATAATAAAACACCAAACGTCGCGTATATCCTCGTTTGTGTCATTTTGTAACTGAATGTACTGGCGACTACACTCTTCCCTTTTTATAACCAATTGATTCTACACAGTAATGACGTATAATGACGCTGTATGACGTAGTAACAATTTTTAAAATATTCTATGTTTAAGGGATTGGATGCACTTTTGAATCACACCCGCCATTTATTAATTCATGAATATTTATTTTTAATAGAGATGAAGAGTGTTAGTGAATATATTATTGTAAAAACTATATAATTTATTAAATAATCAAGTCCAATATCTATGAAACCAATCCTTCTTCTCAGATAGAACATTAAGAGGAGGCCAAATTTAGGATGCGAGAGAGGCCATCCTGTTCTCTGTATGAGAATTTTTATATCAGAATCGAATTAGAACAGTTAAATGTTTATAAATATTTATACTTTTTTTATTTATTAATTTTTATTAAGTTTATATATTCTATCTCATAAATATTTTAAAATTAAAAGGTTAAAATACTTGAATAATGTTTTATAATTTCTTTTTAAGGCATAATATCATTAATTAAATTTTTATATATGCAGAATGGCCCAAAAGTCAGTTAAAAATGTTTGTTTCCTCGGTTCCAGTCAAATGAATTCATAACAACGTGTTTTTCTTGTACAGGATTGGTGAAAACATTTTAAATGCACATATAATTAAATACCTAATATATATATGTATATGTATAATACAACAATTTAGTCTTTATCATGGTTAACCGACTTTCGGACCGCTCTGTATTACTGAAACTAAATTAATTTTGAAATTTCAATGAAATTTTAATTTGTATTAGACATCTCCGTACTTAAAAAAATAAAAAAAAATATTTTAAAAAGTATCATAATATTTTAAAGAAAAATTGATTGTTTAATAATATTTGTAAGTCAAAATATTTTTTAAAACTTATCTTTAATTTATAAATTAAACATATAACATTAAATAAAGTTACTTTATATTCAGATAGGGCAGGGGTCCCCAAAATTTTTTAAGTCTTCTTTTATCGACCTCCTTTTTCTTTTTTTGTTTTTGTTAATACAGTTAATAATACAGTATATAAATAAATAAATCTGATTAGCCAGTATTAATCCATAAACCGTTTTCACAGAAAAGATCTACTTACAGCGTGCAAATTTACAACGTCCTGAACTATCATGTACTATACATAACTCACTAGACTAATAATTTTTAATGAACTGTTTACATCAATTGGCCCCGAAAATCCCTTACCGACCGCTTTGGAGACTCCTCAGATAGGGAAAATATCTGCAGGGTCTTCTCTATCTGCTTAATGGCACTCTTTTATATAGGTCTAGATAAGATTATAACTAACTTAATGTTAGTTACTGGGGCTACTTTTTCGTGCGAAAAAGTAGCCCCGGTCCAGCTCGAGTATTTGGAGTGAGCGAACCGCATCAGTTGAGTGGAACGTTGTGTTGTTTGAAATGGCGTTCAGTATTGTGTAGATTAACACACAGTACAGGAACTGAGGGATAAGCATTCGTCGCTACAGATGTCACATGTTACGCCGGGTGTTCCTATACAGAATTCGACGTGCGCAACTGTGTGTAGATGCAACAAATGACTACTACTATCAACTTCTATGTTGGTGATACTAGCAGTTGACATCTGTCTTTATTACTGTATTCTTTTGTGTTTCCACTAAACTACGCATCGGGGCTACTTTTTTCTGCGTCACCCTGTATTAATTTAATCTTGTATATAATTAATACTTAAATATTAGCCTCACTCGAGGTTAAACAAATAAAAGTAGTGCCAGCAAGACCTAGAGAATCTCCTGTTGGCATTTCGTCTTTATATCATATCCATGGTATATATTTTTATGAATTTATATGAACGTCCCTTTATACAGTACTTTATTCTAGTCATGCTTATAAGTAGATTTAAAAATTAATATCCTAATTTGTACTATAATCTATTTATGATAATGTATAATTATCATAAATTAAATTATAATGTATAATTGTAAGAAAAATTAGCAATTTTTTCTTACAATTTGCTTATTTGTGAATATTGTTGAAAATTCACAAATCGTAATAAATCAGCAAATCATAAGAAAAATTGCTAACTTTTCTTACAATTTGTTTATTTGTTACATTAAAAATTTGCTAAATTTACAATATCATTCATAAATAAACAAATAATGACATTGTTACAATGCTGGGCTGCAATTTTTAATTACATTTTTAATTTATTGAACTTAAAATATATGCTCTCTATCTCAAATTAGTAATGGCTTGTCCCTGTACACTATACTTTTCCTTTAACAATAGAATCGTGCCTGTCATCTATCTAACGTCTTTCAGGGGAACATTTTGGAATTAAAACAACACGACTTCCAGTTTGCATCGAAAGTTTTTACATAGTTAATCGGGGCCTCTTGCCTCTAACATTTCCATATTTGGTTCGTCTTTAATCTATCTAGCTCCGTTCTCTCGATTAAAGAAAGACAGACGGACGACAGTGGTAATTTAAAGGTCTACAATTTTTTTTTTTCTTCAAATTGCAGTCCAATTAAGTGTTTAAATAATTTCGTTTTTGTAGTTTTTTACGTTCTAGTTTACGTGAAAACGTTTAATTTATAATTTAATCGCGAATAGTTAACTATTCGCGATTAAATTAATGAAATTTATAAATTAAACGTCTTTAATGTATCTTCGATCTCTAATACACTAAGACCCCGCTTAACGCTGCCTCGCTTAACGCTGATTCGATATAATGTGGTCTGCCCGAAGCCTTAAAAAAAAGATAAAATAACACCTTATCCTTGCCAAGAAATATATTTATTTCAAAAAACAAACGTTTTCAGCCAGATTTACAGGCCATCATCAGGTTGAGAACGAAATTGGAATTAAAGATTCCATTAATAGAATACAAAATTCAAATTAAAAATTAAATAAGCAACGGAGTAACATTAAACATAAACAAAATTAACATAAAAATAAAAATATGTACATAGAAGTACTGTATTAAGAAATAAAATTACTAGCACCTCTAATAAAATTACTATTTTAACTGGTTAGAGTTCTTACTTGTTAGTAAATTTTTTAACCATAAACTTCCATGCAGAGGGAAGACTTTCGGCATCCCTCGCATTCAAACAGCCTTCCCCTAGTTTACTCCTATAAATCTGAATCTTTTCAGCGGTCATCGCCAAAGAAGGGGAAGATAAAGGTTTGATGATGACTGCCTCATTCCATTTGACTACAGAGCCTTGTGTTTGCGCCATTTGGGACAAAATTGTTGCATTAGACTTCTTTCTGATATTATAACTATGTTCCTTGAGTCTAAGTCCCAAACTCCTGGTGGTTACTCCAATATAGTCTTTCTTAATACCCATTTGTATATTCTCATAAGGAATTCTATAAACTCCTACTTTCTCCTCTGACTTTATACTATTTTTATCATTTCTGAGAATTTTGTATAAATTTGGGGACCTCTTTATAAGCATTCTCGAACCTTTTCTGTCAGCAACCTCTATCGTAACGCTATTCATACTTTCATTATAGGTAAATTTCACGACTCCAGTGGGAACACTTTTAAACTACCTTTTCTTGATATTCATCTCATACTTCTTAACCATTCCTAGAATTGCGCTTTTTCGGTAAAGCAGAATCTGGGCCACGTTTATTATTCTATCTATTTCCTTAATCCTGTCTTGGATTCTGTCACAACACAAAAATGCCCTTCTTATTAAAGCTCGGAAAGCCGCAATTTTATATTTATACGGATCCTTGGATTGGGAGGGAATATACAATGGGCTATGGGATGGTTTAATAAAAACGCTAGTGGATAAATGGGCTTTTCTGAACTCGATACTGATGTCTAGAAAATGCACATCTAAGGAACTCTTCTGTTCCAATCTTAAACTAAGGCCATCATTATTATCATTAATCTTAACCATAAATTCTTTAATCCTGCTGTTATTTTTCCATATTATAAGTAGGTCATCAACATATCTGCTAAAATAAGGTGTTATTTATATGTTTGGTGATTTGCTGAATACTTTATGATAATTCCTTAAAAAAAGCTCAAAATTTACGCTGATTTAAATTATCGCGGCATTTCATTAATTCGTATATAATACGATTATTTGCGAACACGAACCAATCAGCAAAAGGTGGTAAAAAGGTGTAGGTAAAGATGCCTATTATGAGATAGGCGTGAAATATGAGATAGCAAGGTTTTGGCCAAACTATTAATGGCAACTATTTGGCTCTAATGTCTTCCGAAGCGTCCTGGCAACAGCTCCAAACGTGTGTCAGTGCGCGCTGGCCAGAGGCGCTGTTAGAACGTAGGTGTGCAGATTTTCACAGAAGCACAAAACAAATTTTTTGACATTAAATGTTTACGAGGTATGTAACAACGTTATTATTACGCTAAATTCTTTTAATTTACATTCATTTTATCAATTTCACGATATTAGTGCGGTAGTATTGTTTTCTTTGTCAGCAAGAAAGTAGGCAGCCGTTTTGTAAAATTTAAATGTGTTCTCAATATGAGACACATGGGGGGTTCCTAAAATGAGATATCTCATTTCATATGTGAGGTGAAAGTATAAATATTAGTTTAAGTTTTTTTTTATATATTTTAGATGGCCCCAATTAAAAGGAAAACCTGGAACCACCGTGCCATGATACGAGCCGTGGATGCAGTACGGAGCAATTAAATGGGTTACTTAAAGGCATCAAAACAATTCGGTGTTCCTAAGAGTAACCTAGAAATGACGGATGGCCGAGCGGTTAAGGTGGCGGCCGAGCAGTCAAGGTGGCAGCCTACCGCTCTGGGGGACTCGGGATCGAATGCGGATGAGCCATTGTGGGCCTGGCCGAACCCATAATGGGCCTGCTATAAGAGACCCTCTTAGTGTCCACAGGGCGAAAAGAGTACAAAGAAAAAAAAAGATACCCTAGAGCGCTAAGTCAAGAAGAATGCCCATGCTGAAGTACTTGTAAAAGTTCGTATGGGGAGACGTCCAGCCTTGAGATTTCTACACAATCTATATTTGTTGATTTTTGATATTGTTTCAAAATTGCCATTAT